GTGTGTGTGTGTGTGTGTGTGTGTGTGTGTGTGTGTGTGTGAGAGAGAGAGAGAGAGAGACAGAGAGTATAAACGCCATCCAGGTATAACGGATCAACCTCAAAAGCAGGGTTGTACCAAACATTCAGGCTAAGGAAGCTGCCCTAGATTGATCTCTGAGCTTGCTAGCAGCCAGTGCAATGAGGGCCACAGAGCCCTGATCAGAAGATTCTCGTCACACACTGATCCTCAGGACCCGTGGAAGGAGGGGCTATGGAGCAGGCTAGGGGTGAGAGCCAGTCACCTGGTGTCTCCAGGGTCACTGGCTCGGAGAACTCGCCTGCAACCGCCTTGTTGCAGGCCTTCACACGGAAGTTCATGTATTTCATGTCAAACTTGAGACCTGGAAGTCAAGAGGAGAATCTTAACATTGTGTACATGCCGAGCAGTACATGCTGGTTTCAGCTGCCGTCGGAGTCGATTCCGACTCATGGCGACCCCATGTGTGTCACAGTAGAACTGTGCTCCATAGAGTTTTCAATGGCTGAGTTTTCAGAAATAGATCGCCAGGCCTTTCTTCCGAGGTACCTCCGGATAGACTTGAACCTCCAACCTTTTGGTTAGCAGCCAAACACATTCACCGTCTGTACCACCCAGAACTCCTATATATACTACATGTCCCAGTCGGCAAAAGTGGGAGGAAAATACACGTGTCCTCCCTGTACATTTATTTGTAGCTTCCTGGGAACTTATCAGTTAGGAATAAAAAGTCCCAATAACAACAAAAAAAGGTGGGAGGGCCTGGAGGAGAGGTCTGTGGAATCCTGCAAAAATGGGGTGTGTTTATTTTGATTCCTATGCAAAGGACAAACTAATAGCTTCTCAGGCCCTTTTGCCGTCGGGTAACTGTTCTCTCCTGCAATTAGCATGCTCATTATTAACCATGTATGCTAATTACAGCTAAGGAGTAGGCTGATTATAGCCCAGAGCCAGCTGGTGAATGGTGATAGTTATTCCGTCAGCTAGCCTCCACGCCCCTGTGGGTTTCCCCTGACTCACAATTGCTTTTTAAAGACATGGGGGACCCCCAATGTTTCTCTCCTTCATACCTGCCCCCCACCAGTGGGTGGATTCCCCAGGCTTTTTGATTTCTTATAACTATCAAGGGAATTTCTAGATACTGAAAGGGTGCCCCTCAGAACAACAGCACCATGAAAGCAGGGATTTTTATCCTCTCTACTGCTGGCACAGGGGTTAAGAGCTTGGCTGCTAACCAAAAGGTTGGCAGTTCAAATCCACCAGCCACTCCTTGAAAGCTCTATGGGGCAGTTCTACTCTGTCCTGCAGGGTCTCTATGAGTTGGAATCGACTTGATGGCAATGGGTTTTTCTGGATACTGTGAGGACAGCGTCTGGTGCCCCATAAACCAAAACCCAACCAGTTGCCATCAAATCAACTCAGACCCGTGGTGACCTCATCTGATTTTTCAGCAGCAGACTGCCAGGCCTTTCTTCTGAGGTGCCTCACGGTGGACTTGAACTGCCAACCTTTTGGATAGCAGCCGAGTGGGTTAACCATTTGCACCACCCATAGGTGCTCAGTAAATGAGAATGCATGCATGAATGAATGTTGGATAATCGAGCTAACAGGAGGCGGTAAAGTAGCTTCACCGCCTGTACCTCAGTTTCCTCATCTGTAAAATGGTGATAAGCACTGTTGTTGTTGTTAGGTGCAGTCTGAGTCGAGTCCGACTCATAGTGACCCCATGTGACAGAGTAGAACTGCCTCATAGAGTTTTCTTGGCTGTAATCTTTATGGGTGTAGATCACCAAGGCTTTTTCCCGTGGAGACACTGGGTGGGTCTGAACCTTTCTGTTAGCAGCCTAGCGCTTAACCATTGCACCACCCGGGCTCCTTATGGTAACTATGGCAAATATTAGATGTGGGTAAAATGCTTAGCACATAGAAGCACTCAATAAACAGTGCTGTAGCATATCAGTATCATTTCCATTACTCTTACCTTCTGAACTCCTGACCAGCCCAGCCATGCGGCTGTCACACACCATGAGCTTTGGGGAGCCTCAACAAGGCCCTGTAAGTAACTGGGGACAGGAACCAGGAGGGTCAGTGCGGGGGTCAGCAGTGGCTGTTCTCACCCGTCAGGATGTACTCCATCTGCCGGATGCCCTCGATGACCATCCAGGGCTGGTCCTCCTTGAGGCGGGGCGGGCCCTCGAAGTTGGTCCGCCGGTACTCCAGCACGTAGTGGTCTATCTTGCTGTCCTCGTCCGGCATGCGCCACACCAGGGTCACGCAATTGTCCGCCACCAGGGACTCAGCTAGGTCGATCACTGGGGTGCTGGGCACTGCCCAGGGTAGACGGGAGGGGGTCAGGGTTCTGGGATTCTACCCTTGGGGGCAGGGCCCCCTCAGGGTTTCTGGGCCCCCTCGTGGTTCAGGGATGGGAGTGGGGCCCCTTCGAAGTTCTGGGGAAGAGGGCGGGGTGCCCTCAGGGTTCTCGCGATGGGGGCGGGGCCTCCTCAGGGTTCTGGAACCAGGGGCGGGGCCTCCTTAAGATTCCACCAGAGATAGGGGGTGGGGCAGAGTTTTCTCAGGGTTCTACCCACCAGGGAGTGGGCCTTCTCTGGATTCCACCATTTAGTGGTAAAACTTTTCCAAAACTCTCTACCAGTTGGGTGCGCGACCTTCCAGAGATTCCACCACTGGGGGCGGCGCTTTTCAAGGCTCCGCGTGGGGGGGGGAGGGGAATGATCTTGGGCTCCACCCCCTGGGGCGGGGCCTTCTCAGACTCCACCCCAGGGGCGGGACCTCCTTGGGGTTCAGCCACAGGGTGTTCAGCCTTACCCCCAGGTGCCCTCTCAGGGTCTCCCAGGCTCCCTGGCCCCCAGCCCTCCAGCGAGTTCCCTCTCACCAGGCAGGAACTTGATCGCCTGTAGCATCCGCCGCTCCTGTGCAAAGTCCACCATGAGGTGGCTCATGTTGTCGCTGACCTTAGCTTTCAACGACAGCCGGAAGGCCGGGGCCATTGTCACACTGCGGGGGGAGGGGGGAGCCCGCTGGGAGGTGTCTCAGGGGGGCTCCAGGTGGGGTCTGAGGTGTGTGTGTGTGGGGGGGCCCTCCCCTTGGTCCAGTCCAGTGTTCCGGGCCGAGAGACCCTCACCTGGGTGTCTCCACCTTCACACCAGTGGCAGGGCACTGGGGGGAGGGGGGCAGATCCCAGCATCTTACCCGTCTTTGATTTGCTTAGCAGCCTAGAGAGAGAGACAGAGTGAAACTCAGACTTGTGTCAACCGAATCAGAAGGTCCACTAGACAGACGGGAAGACTGAGGCCCCATGTGGCGGCCACTGCCAAGTCCACCAGCCCCGGGGCAGGAACCCTGAGGCTTCCTCCCTCTGCGCTGAGTCCCGAGGGTAAGGAGGGCAAAGACAGGCCCCCAGCCTCACCTCCCGCCCGTGGCCATTACCTACGGTGGCCAGATTTAGCAGATAAATATACAGGACACCCGGTTAAACCTGCATTTCAGATAAACGATGAAAAAAATTTTAGTAGTAAGTATGGTCCATGCAATATTTGAGAGATACTTAACACTGCATGGGATATACTTATACTAAAAATGAGCTGTTAAGTTTGAATTTCCGAGAAACATAATGTTTAGCATAAGTATGTCCCATGCAATATTTGGGACATACTCATACTAAATCTTACACGGACTATATTTATACTAAAAAATTATTTGGTGTTTATCTGAAGTTCAAGTTTAACTGGGCGTCCTGTGTTTCATCTGGTGACCCTCCCGGTATGGCATCCGAGGCGCCCACCTGGGAGAAGTCTTCGCAGTGTGTGGCCTGCAGGGTCTGGTTGGCTGTCTCCAGGAGCTCCTCGGAGCTCTCCAGGGCCCGCGTGCAGGCGGCCAGCTGGTTCTACAGGTGACAGAGCATCACAAATCAGCACGGTGCCAGACACCTCACCCCACTGCACCAAACCCTCCCAGGACTCCCCATCACCTTCAGGATATGGGGTAGTGTACCCTACAAGCAGGGTGATGGTCAAAAGTCTGAACAACTGGAGCACCCGTGACACTGCCAATTGGAGTGGACGGTGGGGTCCGAGAGGCTGGGTTGGGCATTACCCCAGAGTTGCTAGATTGTGATGAGTTCCAGGGGGTCTCGGGAGAGGGAAGGGGGCTCAAGCAGAGGGGGCCGCTCAGGAAGCTTGGGAAAGTAGCTCTTTAAACCCAAAGGAAGATCCTTGAAGCAACCAGCTCTTCTGTAGCAATACTTCCAGGTCCCACGTGCTCTGGGGCCTGGGGGCCTCTCCACCTCTCCTCCTACCTCACTCCAGCCACACTGGACTCTAGTCCTTGAACTCCAGGTGGGAGAGAGAGGCTGGAGCCTCGAGCCTCTGACCCTGTCAGGCCTCACTCCTCACAGCCCACCAGAGTCACCTGTGGGATCCCTTTCTTAAAAACTCACATGACCTGGCCACACCTGAGCCCACGGATTCCACAGTCCCTGGGGATGGGAATCGGGGATTTGAGGTTGTTGCCCAGGACATCTGGATGCAGCCCGAGGGAACCTAGCTTGGAGTCTGAGACCCATGGGAGGTGTCTGAGCAGGAGTGATAATGTCAGATCTGGGGACCGGTGGGAGGGAGGTGGTAAGGACAGGAAAAGACTGAGCCTTGTGGAGTGGGGGGACGGAGGAGAAAGGGGATTAAGAGGGAGTGCAGGCAGATGTAGAGGTGGTTGGGCCATGGCCAGTGTTATGGATTGAATTGTGTCCCCCCCCCCCCAAATATGTGTTATAAATCCTACTACACCTGTTGTTATAATCCCCTTTGGGAACTGGGTTTTCTTTGTTAGGGAGACGGTATTAGCATAGGGTGGGTTTTCAGTGAATTTTTCTAGAGATATAAAAAGAGCAGATTAGGCACACAGAAGCGAACACAGGTGAGGGAGGACAGATGCCACGCCACTTGAAGATCACCAAGGAACCGAGGAACAAGGACCGGAGCAGACAGAGAGAAAGCCTTCCCCCTAGAGCCTGCGCCCTGAATTCAGACTTCTAGCCACCTGATTATGGTGTTGGCAAAGAATACTGAATATCCCACAGGCTGCCAGAAGAACGAACAAATCTGTCTTGGAAGAAGGACAGCCAGAATGCACCTTAGAAGTGAGGACGGCAAGACTACGTCTCACATGCTTTGGACATGTTATCAGGAGGGACCAGTCCCTGGAGAAGGACATCGTGCTTGGTAAAGTAGAGGGTCAGCGAAAAAGAAGAAGACCCTCAACGAGATGGATTGACACAGTGGGTGCAATAACGGGCTCAAACACAGCAACGACTGTGAGGATGGCGCAGGACCTGGCAGTGTTTCGTTCTGTTGTAAACAGATTTGCTATGAATCGGAACTGATTGGATGGCATCTAACAACGGCCTCTTAAATTGTGAGAAAATAAAATTCTGTTCATGAAAGCTACCCACTTGTGGTATTTCTGTTACAGCAGCACTGGGTCACAGCCAGAGAGGGGGCAAGAGAGGGAGTTGAGGGAAAACAGAGGTGAGGCCAACACTGGGGTCTCGGGCTCTAGACGCCGGAGAGGTTCAGGGGCACCTCCGACGTCAGGCACAGAAGGCAGGTTTGGAGGGAGATGCCGAGGCCAGCTGGGCCCTGGGCAGCCCGCCCCACCTGCCGCACCTGCAGCTCGTAGGTGCGGCTGGCGCGGTCCTGCTTGATCTTCATGAGCATACTCTCCTTCAGTTCCTCCAGGAGGGAGAAGAGGGACTGGAATTCCACCTCCAGGTCCTCCTGCACTTTGGCGGAGTTGGCCTGGAAGACGACATGAGGGGTCAGAATGGCCGGATGGGCCAAACCCCTTGTCCAGATGGGAAGACTGAGGCCTGGGCATGGAGCAGCAGGCTGGCCCCTGGCTGCTCTTGCCCTCCCTCCCGGGGCAGGTGGTGCCTTCCTCACCTCCACGTTCAGCAGCATCTGCTTGAGGGAGTAAATAAAACTCTGGATCTCTTCATTCTTCACAGCCAGCGTGGTGATGATCTTCCGCAAGGCCTCCTGCCCCCGACCAAAGCACACACAGGCCTGTGAGCCCCTCACCTGGCCCGGCTCCCCAGCCTGGGACTCCCCCTCCCCAGCTCTGCCCTCCAGGGCCCCAGGGAGGAGAAGTGGGGGCTGCACTGCTCTGGCCGTATGACGCCTTGTCTAGCAGGTGGGCACCGTGAACACACCCATTTTACAGAAGAAGAAACTGAGGTTCAGAGTGAGCCTCTTGGAGGGGACAGACCCACAGACCAGATGCCGAATTAGGTCTGCTGACCACAAAGCCTTCAAGCAGGTACCGGATCCTGAAGGCGGGGTGTGATCTGGGGGAAGGGGCTAGCTTGGGGAAAGAAAACCCCGGAGGAGAAGGAGGCCTGCAGTCAAGTGGGCTAACCTGGAGACGGGCCACGTGAGCGAAGACACCCTGGGGAGGTGGGCTAGCCTGGGGTAAGGCCAGGGGAATGGGATATCTTGAAGATGGGGCTTACCTGGGGGAAAGGGGCAACCTGGGAAAAGGGATTGGAAGGGAGATGAGCTGGGGAAAGGGGGAACTGGGCACAGAGGATGCCAGGGGCCAGAGAGCCCAGGTAAATGGGGGTAGCCTGGGGAAAAGGGAGGTCTTGGGAGGGCGGCCCTGTGGGCGGATGCTGCGCGGGCCTCTGGCTCTCAGCCCCTTTTCTGGGGGCGTGGGCGCCGGTGCTGAGCTGGAGGGCGTCCTCCGGGGACACCTGGTCCGCGGCCCGGATGAAAGGTGTGGGGGATGGGGTCAGGGCTGGGACTGGGATGCCGGGCGAGGGTGGGGGCATGGAGGGGACGCGCTGGACCCAAGCCAAGATGATAAGGGGTCTTGGGGGGGGGTCTGCGTCCCTAATTTGGTGGGGGCTAGTCTGGG